TAAAAATATAATAAACTATATATAGCTTACATATATAGAAAACTATTCTGACTGCTGATTACACACTTAATTTAAGTATCTGAAGACAGGAGACTTAACCAGGAATGATGATTTATAAAAGAATTCAACAGTAAAATGCTTTAGTGACACAGCAGCAGGTCAGGTGGATATATGGAATTCTGAAAGGCTGCTGGAAGTTAAACGGTGTTAAAAGCATGGCAGGTTGGAGTTTTGGAGCACAGGTTGGTTTAATCACATCAATAAAGTCTAAAAGTGTTCTGTCCACTAGAACTTTAAAAGAGTCTGATTTTACGGTTCCTGTGATGTATCTACAGCTCGAAAATACATCATTTATTAATTCATCTGTTTAGAGAGCCATTCTTGCCCACATTTCGTGTACAAAAATGACTGTATTCTGTGTAATTCTGCTGAATTTCCAGCAGATTCCTCATTTGGGAAGAGCTGTGGAAATCAGTGGCTGCTGCTGGTCGTGCACACGGAGCAGATGTTTGCTGTGCACTCCTGCACATCCTACCATGGAAACTCGGAGTTGTCAGCAGTGATTGATCATCTCAGTGCTGCTCTCCAAATGTGCCTTTGCTACTCGTGCTGCTGCTTTTGGAAGAGTGGCCTTCAAGCTTGTGAACCTTTAGCAGATGAGATAAATCGATATCATGATGAAGTGACTTCTTCTCCAACCAGGTCGTAAGGACCTGGAATAAGAGGACCAAGGAATTAGAGTTGCCCTTCCTTTCCCTTTCCATCTATCCCACCCTGTCTGCAACAGCACAGACACTGGTGCCATCCCATGAAAACCATCTCCTTTTGCAAATGTTCAGGCACAACAGGGCAAACCGAGCCCCAGGTATCTTATGCCCCTTGTCCATCTTCTTGTCACTCCTACTTTTTAAATCCTAGAAAAATTATAGAGTGAGACGACAAGTTTAGGAGAAAAAAAAGATAGAAAAATAAATAAAATAAGAATGCAAAAGAGACACAGTTATAGCACAATATAAACGTGGAGTCACAGAATGGTTTGGGTTGAAAGGGACCACAAAGATCAAAATCCACCCCTGCCATGGGCAGGGACATCTCCCACTATCCCAAGTTGCTCCAAGCCCAGTCCAACCTGGCCTTGGACACTTCCAGGGATGGGGCAGCCACAGCTTCTCTGGGCAACCTGTGCCAGGGCCTCCCCATCCTCACAGGGAAGGATTTCTTCCCAATATCCAATCTAACCTTTCTCTCTGTCAGTTTGAAGCCATTCCCCCCTGTCCTGTCACTCCAGGCCCTTGTAAACAGTCTCTCTTCCTCTTTCTTGCAGCTCCTTCAGGTCCTGGAAGGTCACAATTAGGTCACCATGAAGCTTCTCTTCCCCAGGCTGAACAATCCCAAGTCTCCCAGCCTTTCCTCCCTTCTTTACACTCTGAAAATGTATTAAGACACCCAAACACAGCTGAATTTTAAAGGGCTGGGCAACGTGCTATGGGCTCAGAGTCAAATTGCCTCCCAAAGCAGATAACTCAGGATCTTCTTATCTCTAGAGAATTTGTGTGCACACAATATCAATAGTTGATCCCACAGGCAGCACCCAGCCCCCCTGCACGTGGTTTTAGACTGAGCAGCACATTTCCTAATTTTCCATTACAGAGGAGCCAACAGGAAGGAATTGTGCCCCAGTTTGAGCAGGAATGGTGCATTTTCCCAATGTAAATTTTGCCGGCTCTGGTGCAGGACCAGAGCTCTGCCTGGTCCCAGGTTTTCCTGCAGACATTGGACACGAGATCTTGGTTCAGCTGGGGGAGAAGCCATTGCCTGTGGACAAGGGAAGGCCACGTCCTTCTCTGCTGCTGCTCAGCAGAAAAATCTGGGCAAGAGACAAAATACAGCCTTTTCTTGATTTCTGTCATCACCAGCTTACTCTTTTTTATCGTTTTTTTATTTGCCTTTTTTTTTTTTTTAGCTCACTTCTGCACAATTTTCTTCTCTCAGCTATTAAACTTCCAAGTTAAATCACAGAACTTCAGATTTCCGTCAGCAACTGTTTAAGCACCTCCCAAATGCCAGAATCCCACTGATACCACCAGTATTTAATTTACACTCAGAACCCTTAAGCCTCACCAATACCTTTGTCCTTGCCTGGGCAACTCACCACTCATTAAATCAAGGTCTCCATAACTAAACAGACATGAGCTCAGTGTGGGTATGAGCTAAATTACTTGAGGAGATATAAGAAATCCAAGAAAAAGCAGATAATTGGCCCTAAATCCCACACGGATGTATTACAGCCTTCAACATTCAGATACTCCCTGCTCTTAAAAAAAAAAATTAGATAAATTGGACTTACAAAGCTATTCCACTCTTGTATAGATTTTTGTGGTAGGAGAATTTACAGCTGTATTTAACTGAGCTTTTATGAGATCATTAAGCTGCCTGACAATTATTAGGTTGTAGGTGGTGGTTGATTTTTTTAAAGTGCTTTGCATAATCACAATAAACATTCGTGGGAACCTTGAGCATCCTCACCAAAGCACTGCCCTGTGTTATAGAGAGCATCTTGCTGCCATCTGGGTGCTGGAGAGAGATTGCAAGGCACAGGCAGTTTATTTTCAGCCTATTTTCATAGAAAACCCAGTATATGCTTGTCCATATTTCCTATATTTCATCCAGTTGTTTCTTACAGGGTTAAATTCTCTATTTTCAAACATGTTATTGTGCTACAATTATCCAGGATCAGATGAAATGCCTAAACATTTGGAAAACATCATAAAAATGGATACCATTAGAAGAAAAGGAATTCTTTGGCTCAGACTGAAGGAGCCATTGGCTAAATGCAGATTCCAATGAGGAAAATCTGAGGAATAGCTTCATCATTAAACATCTATGGAATAAACTTCCAGCCTCCAGCAATTTCTGGGTCAGAGAATTCCTGAACAAGAAGCTGCAACTAATATTTGCAGGCAGGTGATATTGATTACAAGAGGAAAAAAAAGAGATTTTTGATATCTTTTATGAGGTTTTTAATCCCTATGGGTTTTTCACCTCCAGTCAGAATAGGTTATTTTCAAATGTATTTGCAGAAAAAAACCAACAGGGTAGAATTTAAACAAAATCTCAAAGTAAGAAGCAACAATTCAGGTGAAGCAAAAATGTTTTCAGCTGGGCTGAAAACTACATTCCACTACATGGAATGCTCTCCATGCCCATGGAGTTTAAATCCAGAAGGACTTGGTGTGAGTCCTTTGAAATGTCTTCCTCCCCGATTACAGACATGAGACACTGTCAATGGCCAGCAAGATCCATGTCAGGTTGCTGTTAAAATTTTTATATTATTGTAGTTATTGTGCCACTATTTTTAGTTTCAAATCTGTCACAGCCATTCACCAGCAAGGAGAAAATGCTCTAAATGTGGTACAACCTAGACAGTGGGAAAGGTGTCCATTTTTTTAGTTACTGGTGTCCCTAAAATAACCTCTTTCAAATATAAAATGGAATCTATTTTCCATGTTGAGAAGATAATAAAAAAGTGGCTGCACCAGATTTTCAGACCTTTCCCAAAAGTTCATTTTTCTACTAAAATTAAGTATGAGATGCTACGTAAGAGAAGCATTTTTTTAATTATTATTTTAAAATTACCTGGAGGTGCAAAAGGAGATTTAGAACATCAGGACTTCTGCTGACTTTTAAAAAAGTTGTAATAGTATTTCCTGCGACAGAAGACATGGCAAATTTGTGGTTTTGATTATTTAGAAACTGCTTTATATCCCAAATTATTCTGAAGTTTAACAGCAATTATATTTGGGAATTAGAACACAGTCCCCCCCCTCCCGCCCTGTTTGATTTGTGATGTTAAAAGGAACATTTACGTGCATGCAGAACTTCTGCAGTTCATATTTTTAATAACGAATGAATTGCACTGGAGGGCAAAACGCTTCTCACACAAATTTGGGAACTCTCAGTTGTCTCCATGGTTTCCCCAGGAAGCCACTCTGAGCCTGATCTCTCCGGGCACACGCAGTGGAGGAGCGTGTGGTGCCAAGGCTTTGTTCTGGCACAGGCAAAGGACTTCTCACACAAATTACCATTCAGAAAATAAATCCCATCAAATCAAATCGAGAGACTTGTGAGCACCTCCTGGGCCTCTGATCACGTCCATGGAGAGAGGGGAAAGTCAGAAATAGGGGATTTGATGTCCTGCAGCTCCCAGGCCTTGGCACACACGGGTGCAATGGGAGCAGGAGGAGCCAGCCGAGGGGGCTGGGGCTGGGGGGCTCTCTGGGGCCATCCCTGAGTGCCTGGGGGGCAGCACAGGTGACAAACCTGCCAAGGAATTGGCACTGACATCAACAGGAATATTCCTTCCCCTGGACTCAGCGCTGGTGAGGCCACCCCTGGAGTGCTGTGTCCAGTTCTGGGCCCTCAGCTCAGGAAGGACATTGAGGTCTTATAGCAGGTCCAGAGGAGAACAACGAGGCTGGGGAAGGGACTGGAGCACAAGTGCTGTGAGGAGAGGCTGAGGGAGCTGGGACTGTTCAGCCTGGAGAAGAGGGGGCTCAGGGGAGACCTCCTCACTCTCTACAACTCCCTGACAGGAGGGGGAAGCCGGGGGGGGGTTGGTCTCTTTTCCCAGGCAATGATCAGCAAGACAAGAGGGCTCGGTCTTAAGCTCTGCCAGGGGAGGTTTAGGTTGGATATTAGGAAGAATTCTTTCCAGAGAGGGTGCTCAGCCATTGGAATGGGCTGCCCAGGGAAGTGGTGGATTCTCCATCCCTGGTGGTTTTTAAGATAAGACTGGATGTGGCATCAGTGCCATGGGCTGGGAACCACAGCGGGGTTGGATCAAGGGTTGGACTGGATGATCTCAGAGGTCCCTTCCAACCCAGCTGATTCTATGATTCTATGCACATCAAGGATAATGAACCCATGGGTCAACCCTTGCTCTTCCAAAACCCTCCTTTAGATCATCCAAACCCACAAAGAGCAGAACATCTACATCTGACCTCAGAAAAGCCAAGTCTTTTCTTCCAAGGTTGTCAGAATATTCCCATCCCACTGTCTCTGCCAGCTTAGGCTCCATGATCCCAATATGAGCTCCGTGGTCCAGCTCTCTGCTTCAGATCTATTCAGGTATTTTGGGAGGCAGCATCTCCTCTGTCTCTGAAAGAGATTCATTTAAATGTGACACAACAGATTCACACAGAGAGATTTCCATGTGACATCTCCCCCAAATGCCAGAAACCCATTCTGGGTTGGACAATAACATTTTAATAAATCCCATAAAATTCCCTTGGTCTTCTGATCGGCCTTAAAGTGAGACAGAAGAAACATTTAACATCTAGGCATGAATGCTGGATCTCAGAGTTAATTTTATAGCAACAAACCCCATATTTTCCTGGTTATTATAATGTTCTCAGCCCTGTAGATAAGCACATTTAAGAATTTATAAGGTTTTCTAAGGGTTTAAATTAACTTAGAAATAATGCTGCTTACAGAAGTCCTGTTTCCTTTGATGTTTCATGCAGGTGCTGTCCATCCAAAGGGATGAACCTGTTGGCCCATTTCATCCATCCATCCATCCATCTATCAGGTCTCCTGCTGTTCCCTGTCCAGGAGAAGGTTTCACCATTTCCTTGGACATTATTTTCTCTCATTGCCACAATTTCAGGGCTGGCTGGGACCAGGCCTGCTGATCACTTAAACCCTCAATTTTTGGTTCTTTGCTTCTCTTCTTTTTCCCAACATGACATTCAGGTGGACCTGCCCAGAAACAGCCACTCCTTCCCATTTTCCTCAGCCTCTTCCTCCCCTGCAGCACCGACCCCACAACTGTCCCATGGGGTGATTTCAGCCTGAGACCCACGAGCTCTGTCTGAGCTCTGTCCAACTGCTCCTCTATCCATATGCATTGAGCTGGGATGGAAATCTGTCATGTCCCTGCTCCAGCTACAGCTCTGTGATGAAGAATTCATATATAACCTCTTTTCAGAGGACCCGTTTCATTTTCTAATCCAGGTAACAGTGCCTTGATTCCACAGCAAGGGCTGTGCTTGGTTATTGCTGCCAGAGTGAGAGAGACTCTTCCCTTTCCTCTCTCATGTTGCCTTGTCAAACAGAATTTATCAGGATTTGTTTTACAAACACCTCTTTCCTGAGGGTATCACCACATTTCCAGTGTGAGATTTCCCATCAGATCACTGGGAATGAAGACAAGGAATCACTGACACTGAGAAGGTACTTTGCACTGTTCCCAATTTACCAAGCCCAGATACTCTGTACAGGCCCTACATGGCTAAATGAACAAAATAATTTAATTTTAATATAATATATATTTTATCAACAAGTTTATAATCATTTCCAGTAACTGGTTAATGGCTTTTTTTCCTATCTTATGCTTTCCAATTTAGACCTGCCCAGAGAAGCTGTGGCTGCCCCATCCCTGGAAGTGTCCAAGGCCAGGTTGGAGCAACTTGGGATAGTGGGAGGTGTCCCTGCCCATGGCAGGGGTGGGACTGGATGACCTTTAAGGTCCTTCCAACCCAGACCATTCTGGGATTCTATAGTTCAACACCTTTTTATTTTTGTGTGCAGGTATCAACATCTATCAAAGCACTACAGAACCATAGTTTAGACAAACTTATCAGGGAATTGGTACAATGGGAAATATCTTTACCAGGTTTTATATGTTAACCAGATTTCTCATTCTGCTCTGAGCAGGAACTTCTCTGTGCCATTAGATATATAAAAATAATATTTTTGGTAGATTCCCGCCTTACTCATGAGCACAAAACCTTGCACAGCACTTCATTCCTTTAGGTGCTTCTTAGAGTGTGTGCCTGTGTATTTTGACGTTATAAAATGGCATTTCAGGGGTTTTTAAATGGATTCAGTGCATCTGTCCACACTGTTTTCCCCCAACAATGCAAAGTCCTTCTGTTCAACAGCTCCTGCCCGGAGTTATTTTAAGGATCACTGTGTCATTAATGTTTCTTTCTAACTTATTCTTGGATATAGATCTTGTAACTAAAAAATACAGGAGTTTCCTTGGAAGCAAGGACTGTATAGGTAAGGAGATTTTACTCATATTTCTTTCATAATAACTTTCTTAGTTACTTCAAGTATTTTATTCATGGGGCAATCACAACCAGCAGATCCCATATAATTTAATTTCAATTAATAGTAAGACAGAGTTTACTTTATTTATTATTCAACCAGTTGGACAGCCAGTCCAATACTGCTAAAAACTATTTCCTAAATAAATGATCCAGTGATAAATTACTAGTTTGTAATCAATTAGAGATCCATGTTGAACAAATTATGTTCTTATTTAGAAGAAATAATAATTAGAATGCAGATTACGAGGAGAGTTTGAGAATCAGATTTCATTTCATATTTTGTGGCAGATTTACCAAGAATTAAACATCATCTGGACTTTACAGTACCTCAAAATTGTCCAAAGATAATGCCAATATAAATTCAGAGAGATACCCAACTGAACCTTGACAAAGAGGAACAGGAAAGGCCATGCCATTTGATTTTCTAATCTTGTTCTCTGCCTGTCTGACCATCAATACAGCTCCTCTTTTTACTGATAAAGGTGCTCTTTTGCTCAAGATTTTGTTTCCTCCAGCTCTCTCTCTCCCCTGACCCAATTCTTTTATCTAAAGGAGCAGCTTTCCATCACTGTTGATTTCCCTGGTCACGTATATATATATATATATTTTATTTTGTGCTTCCTTACTAAATTATCTTTTCTGCTGAATCCAGCCCTTGACTAAATGACTGAAATCCACAATATTCCAACACAAGCATGGAAAAAAGTCATAAAAATCAGGGAAAACAAGCAAACTCTTCCTCTTGACATATTGGACCCGTCCTGTCTCTGCAAGCAAACAATTCACATTTCAAGACTTGAGCTGTTATCTCTAACCAGGGCTGGAGGCTGGAGTTTGTTCCCTTGTCTATCAATCATGATTTCCACAGACACGCTTGGGCGTTGCAATTTTGTGTTCTTTGGAGTCAAGGGCTTGTAGCAATCACAGAACAGAAACCTTCCTTTAAACAAGACTGTTTCTGAAGAACACAAGAAAGGCAGGGCAAAGGGATCATAAAAACATACACACATACCTCGTTTAAAGGATGTTTATCCATGAAAACCATTGAAATTGAATTTCCTGGACTCTTCAAACAGCAGCTTCTAAACTTGGTTCATCATTGGAGTTGCCAGCCCTGACGAGTCACTTGGTCGTGTTACTTTCTATAAAATAAGGACATTTATTTTAACATTGGCATTGCAGATCTGACCAAACAGTGTCAAAAGTGAGAGGCAAAAGTCTTTGATTTTGTCACAGGCTGACAAATTTTGCCATGCCAAAGTGCTTTTCAGAGTCCCCATTTATCAGTGTTCCCACTCAGATCCCTTTTGGTTGTAATTACATTATTAATTGCAATAAAAGGGGATGTAAAGTACAGCAGGCTCTTCCTATAGAAATCCTTTAAACTAGGCTTTAAAGAAATTTCCTTTTTTTTCTTTTTAATTATGGAGGGATTTAGCAGGAGTTCAGAAACTCTTTACCTGTTTTATTTCAGATCTGATCGGGATAAAACTTAATCCTTCAAAAATTATGCTGAAAACTGCTGTGTCTTTGGATATGGTTTATAAAGGAGCAAAACCAGAACTGTACCAAAATTTCCAATGTAACAACTATGGAATTATTTCTGATGTTTCACCAAACCTGAGCAAAGACAAGCATATGTTTCTCCACAACTGGAATGAGCTGCTTTGGAATCAATATCCTTGCAATTAACATTTTGTAGCACATTAATGATTGGTACAAAATCACTCTTCTTCATTGTGCTGGTTCAGTTTTTGCTGCTTTGGAAGTTGTCTCTAGAGATGCTTTGAGGAAGAGCTGTGGGAAGGAGGAAAATGCTTGTCCCTTTCATTAACAGTTTGCATTAATTCCCTTGACTCATCCACTTGCTCCTCTTCCAGGCAATCAGTCCTTTGCTGTCGATCCCAACACGCTGCTGGTCAATGGCAAACACTCCAAGTTCCATTAAAGGGATCCCACTGATTAACTTGGGAGCCTTTGCAAGGCAGGAAAATAGCCTTTTTTTCCCCTATCAAATTCATCACTTAAAAAGAAATATTATATTTCGGAGGTTGAAATCCACATTTCCACAAAATTCAAAATATGAGGCTTTCCATGGGAATTCCTAAAAGGATAAAAAGACACACAAGTGTTTCTCTGTCCAAAGCATCCCAGCGACTTCAATCCTATCCCTTCCATCCCAGTATGAAAAGGCTTCACAAGTGAATGATGAGCAGATGGCCGGTCATTGTCTCGACTGGAGATTCCTGGATTCCATTTGTCACTCACTGAACACTGGCAAAAAAGCACTTCTGAGCCCCAGTGAACAACCTGCAGAATTTGTATGTTCTCTGATGGTATTTGAATAACAGCTACCGGTAAACATAATGAAATCTTACATCAAGTAGTTGGTTTTTGGGGCTTTTTTGGTTATAAATATCACTGCAGTCATCAGTGATGTCACTAGTTTGCCTTTACTGTCTCCAGGCTGTATTTTGGTGCACAGCTCCTGTCTGCCTGCAGTACCATTGGGCACATACAGGTGTGTTTTCCCCTTCTCCTGGCTGCCCCCATCCCCACATGTATTATACACACTTATGGTTTATGCCTGTCGAGCCCAACAACCCAAATTTTCTCCTCTTTTTCCACCATTTAATCAGGGTTGTGTCTGTGATACCAGTTGTACTCATGGCACAGTGAACATTAGTGGGGGGGTTTGGAGACAACCCCACATCATCCCACAGAGATGATGCTCTGACAGAGGGTTCCTCTCAGGTACTCCCTGAAAAACTAACACCTGGATCTCCAGTTGGACACTCCTCTTTCTCATTTCAAACACCTTCCTTAAATCCATTTTCCCCTCCCGTTATCCCTGTTGCACAATGAAATCTCTGTTGCAATGTTACCAACAGTCTGTGGGTTCACAATGTGCTGCCGTGTTCACTCACAACATGTGGGTTGTGGAATCACAGAATATCCTGAGCTGGAGGGGACCCACAAGGATCACAGAATCAATTAGGTTGGAAAAGACCTCTGAGATCATCCAGTCCAGCTCCTGGTCCTGCACAGGACACTCCAATGATCCCACAATGTCCCTGGGAGTGTTGTTTAAACATTTGGCCACAACAACCCCCGGCAGCTCCAGGCTGGGCCAGAGGGGCTGGAGAGCAGCCAGGCAGGAAGGGAGCTGGGAGTGGGGATGGACAGGGAGCTGAACAGGAGCCAGAGTGTGCCCAGGTGGCCAAGAGGGCCAATGGATCCTGGCCTGGCTCAGGAACAGGGTGGCCAACAGGTCCAGGGAAGTGATTCTGCCCCTGGACTCAGCGCTGGTGAGGCCACCCCTGGAGTGCTGTGTCCAGCTCTGGGCCCTCAGCTCAGGAAGGACATGGAGGGGCTGGAGCAGGTCCAGAGGAGAGCAACGAGGCTGGGGAAGGGAGTGGAGCACAAGTGCTGTGAGGAGAGGCTGAGGGAGCTGGGGGGGCTCAGCCTGGAGAAGAGGAGGCTCAGGGGAGACCTCCTCACTCTCTGCAACTCCCTGCCAGGAGGGGGGAGCCGGGGGGGGTTGGTCTCTTTTCCCAGGCAACCATCAGCAAGACAAGAGGGCTCAGTCTTAAACTGTGCCAGGGGAGGTTTAGGTTGGATATTAGGAAGAATTTCTTTCCAGAGAGGGTGCTCAGCCATTGGAATGGGCTGCCCAGGGAGGTGGTGGATTCTCCATCCCTGGAGGTTTTTAAGATAAGACTGGATGTGGCATCAGTGCCATGGGCTGGGAACCACAGCGGGGTTGGATCAAGGGTTGGACTTGATGATCTCTGAGGTCCCTTCCAACCCAGCTGATTCTATGATTTCCCGAGCTCTGGGCAGTTCCTCCCATTCCCAGTGCAGAACTGCCCACCTACCACCAGCTGAAAGGATCAGTTAATCACAGAGAGATTTATCAGAAACACTTTGTAGATCATAAGATAAGAAATGCAGAAACCATTACTCCTGCTCGAGACACCAGAAACTCTTAAATCACAGCCTGTGCCTGGTGGAGCTGCCAACATCTTGTATTTTATGCCATTTCAAAGCTCCTGGGATGCAAAAGAACTCACCAGTTTTTGTAAGTAACTTCTCAAGCAGCAGTTTTGGGGTTTGAGGTTGGGGGTCATGCAAATTATCCTTTTTTTTCCAGATTGTTCTATTTCCAGCTTAGCAAAAAGATTAGTGGGTTCATTGTCACAAGTGCTCCACTCTAAGCAGAAACTTTCCAAATCCTTGACACAATATTAATCACTTATCCAGGCTTTTCTGCTATCAGAGCAGATGTCTAAAGCACGAAATCCATGCAGGGAGCCCTCAGAAGTTTGTATTGTTTCTACTGCCTGAGGGGCAGATATTTAAATTTTCTTAATATTGAGTCAACTCAGTTCTTATCACAGTTACACAAAACCGGCACATAATTCAATAGACATTGTCTGATCTAATTAATTCCATAAAAAGACAAATTATAATTTTTTTTTTCTTAAAAATCTAGACTTAACAGATAGCCAAATGGCTACAAACCACGTCAGGCTGAATGAGGCAGATCCCATCTGGGATAAAATGACACAGCCCTGGATGCAAAGCATATTGAACAGAACAAAACAGAACAGATTTATAGGCTATAATCCACACAAAAAGGCTGCTAAAATAGATCAGCTCTGTCACATAACACCCCTTTCATCTACTGTCCAGGAGCACTGCAGCTCTTTGACTCATTTAGCAGATCAGTTCCCTGCTTTTCCTGATTTCGTGCAGGGATGATTAAGGATGACAAAATCTCACGGACAGTTGGCAACTGCAATAAATAAATAAAAAAACAGCTTTGCTCCATTTTTGCTTCACCTGTTTGCTCCAGAACTTTAAGGCCAATAGGATTGAATTAGTCAGGTACAATAATTGTTTTCTGGGTGGGGTGTGTGTGTGTGTGTGAAAAAAAGTCTTCTGTGGTAATTTTGGGGGTTTAGATTTTGTAAGTGTTCTGAAACAGGAAAGTAAATTAAGCTTTAATAGGCTGTTATGAACCCACTGTCAGGAGGTGTTGCATACACACTAAAATTAGTTTCTATTGAGGCTTTTTTTTTTGTTGAGAATGGTCCAAAGCTGCAGGTGGAGCAACGGTGAGAGGAACTGCATTAATCAAACAGCATTTGGCACAATTATTAAGCCACTTAAGGTGTTTTTTAGATGTGCTGTTCCAGCCAGTGCACCAAAGGCTCTCATCAGATGGAGTAAACATCTGCTGGTTGGAGGATTATGGACTGTATTTGCTAAATTTATAACTCTCAGACACCAGTGTGAGTCACCAAGACTTGCCTTTGAGCTTAAATCAAAGCTCCAACTGTCCCCAAAAATAAAAGCCTCCCTAATGAGTGTTGGGGGTGTTACTGTACAGCTGAGCATGACAAACATCCCCTGCCAAACCTCCCAGCAGCCAGGTGCTGACCAGGGGGGCAATATCAGACACGGGATCATATTTTATTTGCTTGTCATGTGTCAAACAGCAGAAAAATGAGGTTTCTTCTGAGGATTTGGAGCTGAACCTGCTGCTCAGGTGTCCTCAGGTGTGAGCAAAGGAGGCTGAGGGGTGGGTGTGGAGCTACAAGTCCCTGACAGGAGGTTGGTTCCAGGTGGGGGTCAGTCTTTTTTCCCCAAGGAACAAGGGGTGGGAGGAAACGGCCTCAAGTTGCACCAAGGGAGGTTTAGGTTGGATATTTGAAAAAAAATTCTTCACTAAAAGGGTTATCCAGCCCCAGAACAGGGCAGCTGTGGAATCCCCATCCCCAGAGGGATTTAAAAGCCATGTGGATGTGGCACTTGGGGACATGGGTTGGTGGTGGCCTTAGGGCTGGGGGGATGGATGGACTCAACCTTGGAACTCTTTTCCAACCTAAATGATTCTGTCAGTGGTGCCTTTGCATCACCTTGAATTCACCCCACAGCTCCCACTGACAGGACCCTCCCTGGTCCAGAGAACTCCTACCACATCAATCCCAATAAAATATCCATCACAGCACCTACCCTTCGTATCCCAAGTTTCTAGTGGAAAACAACCTGCAATATTTACAACAGTTTTCAAATTTGGATCATTGGAAACCTTCTGTCTCGCTGCTTAATCTCAACATTTCAGAGAGGAGAAAAATCAGAAGCCTCTAAGGTCTCATGCCTGTGTAGTTCCATTTATTTAAAAATTAATCACAGACTGAAGGAAAGAACAGTAGTTCATTCCCACAAGAACTGACTTAAATTCTGCTGCCTTCAAATTACTTTGTTGCAATCTTTCTTTTTAATAAAATATTCACAGTGATTTAAGTGTGACTGATGGTAGTAAGAGAGATTTATTATTATTATTATTTCATTGTTATCAAATTAAAGGGCATTAGGAAACAGAAAAGGTCTTTCTGATATAGTCATACTACAGTTTTAACTTTTAGGTGTTTGCTTAGAAAACACACTCGAGGGAAACTAAAATAAAAAGTATAAACTCTGCAACTATTTTAATTTATTTAATAAATATACTCCCTAAACCATTAATAACAAACCCTGTAAACAGTAAACTTGTGCCAGTGTAACATAAGATTTACTTGCTTCCTCCTGGTCCCAACTCTGCTCTCTGCTTACAGCTGGTGAATTCACTGCATGAAAAAACATCTTTCAGCTGCGATTTTTTTCGTGCACGGGGACACTGGTTTGGATGGAAATCCTTCCGAGAGCTCTTCCCTAAAAAAAAAAAAAAATCAAAAGCCACGTGTAAAGATGCTGTTCCTGTGTTTGGGAACATCTACATCGTGTATTCAGGTCTGTCTGACCCAGGGGGCGAACTGAGGTGTAAAATAAACCTCCTTCTTAAACACGTGCTATGAAAATTGCAGGGCACAAAAACATCTCCTGTGATGTGCTTTGGGAGAAGAGAAGAATGTACTTTTTTTTTTCCTAATTTTCCATTTTTTAAGCCATCCTGGGGAATATCAGCAGCAAGAAAAACCAGAAATTACATCACCTTCACCGAGGAGAAACAAAACCTAAAGATTTCAAATGTCCTTTCCCAGTTCCTGAAGTCACAGGAATTCACTGAAATCTTTGTTTCTTTAAAAACTTTATCTTTTTTGTAACTGTGAGGAAACACTGGCCTAAATAACAGCTGCAGAGACATTGTCTTGATCCTTAAAACACATGAAAGGACCTAGAATTATAAATATGAGCCAAGTGAGTGTGGCTGACCCACCCATGGAGAATATCAGTGTACAAGCAGAAGCAAAACTAAAGCTCCTTCAGCTTCTCTGAGAGAGATTCAGAAAAAACAGGTGAAATGAACTCTTTTTCCTGAGGAAGAATAAGAGAAGGTCATGACAAACCCTGGTCTGGATGTGGCTACAGAAGGGACTCACCCAGTCCCAAAACTCTGCTTCAATGTTGGAAAATATTTAATTCTAACAAGTCACATTCCCTAATTCCAGGCAAATTTTTAAATACAAAATTTCCTTTTTTTTTTTTACTTCCCCCAGAGGAACACATTCAATTATTCATGTTTTTAACAAATATATATATAGTTCAGCCACAAGAAAAGTGCTCATTTTCACACCCCTGAAGGTTGGGGTTTGGCACTGCTGTTCCTCCCTGTTATCACCTCACAGGCAGCCCCCAAAAGTCAACCTTGCCTTGATCAAAAAAATCCCTAAATGGAACCTGGCAATGCTTTCAAAGCCCCTCCCCTTGTTCTTTTCTGAGGTAATTTAATCCATAAATTAAGAAATCAAAGGACTCAGGTGTTTGTGGGAGAAAATGCAACCCCAGTGAGCCCAGGGGAGGGTCCCACCTGTGTCCAGGGCGGTGCTGACCCCACTCCTGGGGGCTTCAGGGGGATTTTGGGGTTGGAAGGGGGGAGATGCTGCCACTTTCTCAATTCCTGATCAGTGACTGCACCATAATTCATCATATTGATAAGAATTCACTCCCACCAACTCCTTCTACGCTCTGTTCTCCACACCTGCAGTCACAGATGGGGTGGACTTGCCTAAATCTCTTCAGATGGACTTGCTGTAGAAACACAGAAAACAGGAGATTAATGAGATCTGATTTAGGTTATAGAAATTGTGTAATTAAATATTGGAATTAATAGATCTATCTTAATTGGCCTCAAAACCAGAAGAGCCGAAACCAGAATTTACTGAAATTTTCTTCTGAAGATGCCAAGTGTATTCCAGTTCATGGCCTTACTGGCCTTGTCTGGTCAAAATGTGAGATCAGGAGTGGTAAATAATATTCCCAAATAGTCTAAAATTCTGTATCCTACCTAAATAAAGATGGGCACCTTTGCAACACTCCTTGATCTATTGACCTGAACAACAGGTGAAAGAAAAGTCAATTATTTGTTTTTAGAAAAGCCACAAACACATGACTCAAAGGTGACCTGAACTTTGGAAGGCCAAGAGCAGAGGTCAAGAGCCCCAAAATTAGCACCAGCAAGGACTTCACCATCTAACAGACAATTCAAATATAAAACATACACAGGATGAGCTTTCAATCTGGAGTGAAATTAATTTCTAAAGACAATTACTAAAGGCTGATTTGAAGAACACTTTAATGTGAGAGCAACATGCTGTTTGAAGGAATTATTTATGCCAGCCAGGGTTTAAGACTGGCATATTATTATTAAGCAAAAAGTTGCAGTCAAAATAAATGTATTAAATTCTCTTGAAGTGCGAGAACAGCATGTGCAGATCAGATGGTGCCATAAAGCCCATTTATAAATCAAAAGCAAAGGATGAATTGGGAATTATATCTTGTTCTAACGGATTGTGATCAAGCCCTGAACGTGCAAACAGAACCTGTTTCAAGTCAGAAACCTGGAATGAATTTGGATAGTTGGAACCTTGAGAATAAAATGCTCTTCTTTATCTTTCCCCATTGTGAGGAAATGAATTAGGTAGGCATTGCTAAGAACAGTCTTGAGTACTAAATAAATTCATGTTGCATCTGCTTCAACAGGAAAATGAGTGTTGCTACTTTTTTAAATGTCAATTTTTTAACAAAACGTTCAATTATGTACTCAAAATGTTCAATTATATACTAGACAGAATTGTAAGACACAGCTTAAGGTGACCTCAGCCTTCCTGAGCTGTTGAACCAGATAAAAATGCAGTAAGAAAAAAAAAAAAATCATTTAAGTAATGTACAATTGCATTAGGAGAAGGTGTGAATATGTAAAGTCCACAAGTGGCAGCTGCAAAATATTTCCAAATAGACACTTCAAAGCCTGTAATAAGCAGTAATCCCCAATTCCTGCTGAGGATACATTTCCATGACATTACTTACCGTGTCCAATGGGTGACTTTTGGGTTTTTTGTGGCTGTTGAATCCAAAGTACAATGAACTCACATTAGACTTGAAGTCATTAATTGTTTTAACTTCATGTCACTTTGTAAAAAAAGATGGTACACCATTTTAAGCAGCATTATTTATCCTCCTGTATGAAATATCTTCCACTTGTCTTGACTTTCCTTTTCTTTCTTGCTGACCCACCAAAGGTCGTTTGATTGGACTGTTGTTGTGGATTGTGGGTCTGGGAGATCCAGGGAGCTTTAAATCCTAATGCAACATTGCACCTCTAAGTTGAAATGCAACTTTACACAGCAAAATATGAACAACTCTGGGTATTGATCAGGTATATTTGAGGTGGTTGCAAGTCGAACTCAGGTCAGAAATAAGAAAAAGATATATTGGATGTTAGGAATGAATCCTTCCCTGGGAGGGTGGGGAGGCCCTGGCACAGGTTGCCCAGAGAAGCTGTGGCTGCCCCATCCCTGGAAGGGTCCAAGGCCAGGTTGGAGCAACCCGGGCTAGTGGAAGGTGTCCCTGCCCATGGCAGGGGAGTTGGAACAAGATGGTGTTTGAAGTCCCTTCCAACCCAAATCATTCCATGATTCTGTGATACTCCTTTGCTTCTGTCCTAGGAAGGAGATGGTTCTTCTTCTGTAATGGCTGAGCTTCCATCAGATGATCCCTGCTCATGTAGCCTATAAATCCACTCCAGACAGGTGTGGATGCATTGCCAAAAGTCTCACAGGCCCCAGGTCATAGAAGCTGAAAAACAGACACAGGTTTTGGGGATGGCTCTTGATGTCAGGCAACTCATTTCCTCCCCTCACACTCAGTAAACTGTGTTTAAAATCAGAAAACATCCTTACAGTGACTACCTTGACCACCACCTCTCATCCTTGCTATCCTACAGGCACCAATCCCTCTTCCACAAACAGCAAAGGTGTTTGTTAAGCTGCTGAACCACCTAAAGATCAAAAGCAAGGTATTTTTATCTCATCAGCTGCTTTGCATAAAGGATCCACAGCAAAAAGCTGCAGGTTTGGTGCACTGCTCATGGTGTAACCACAAATGAACTGCTCCCTCCTGCTCTCAGGGAATATTGGTGTCTGAGTCTCAGGGAATATTTGAGGTCTCAAAGAGGCAGAAGCTCGGAGGGAGGACGCTGCTGAAAGGCTTGTTGGCTCAGTTCCCAATGAGCTGACCTTTTGGAATAAAGTAAGTCTCAGTGAGGGGCAGCATTTTACATGAGGAAAACACAGGGAAGAGAGCACTGCAGACACTGAGATTATTTTCATTTTTGTGTGGGGAAGAAGTGCTTAAAAACGACCTCATTAGAGGCCTCTGCATTGTCCAGCAGCTGATCAAAGTTCTCTTGTACATGGAGCTAATCTGCCAAGCAAAAGGTCCAGAGTTAATCTCTCCTGCAAAGGGCCAGATTTCCAACTCCCTGAGACAACCATTCCGGGGTAAAGCTCTGCGGAGACGTCAAACCCCAAATCCCTTTGAAAACAGTTAAAAGCAAAGTCTCTTTACCTTTTACATCAGCTCTGCTAATCCTCTGCAAAAGTGAAACCTTTAGAAGCCAAATTATAAAGTAGTAGAACAGAGTAATTTATTGTCTTATTATCAAAAAGTAATGGCAGGGAAAAAAATCAATTTTGAGAGGGCTCTTTTCTGTGTCTGACTCGCCAGTTTTGCAAAACTGTAATTTCCCTTGTGGGAAATCCATTTTCTTGTGGAAATACTACTGTATGTATTGGCTGCTTTTCCATGAATTATATCCAGGCTCTTGCATAAAGTACTGTCATTTTGCAGCAGCAACAGTCACAGTGGTGAATCAAATCTGATATAACCTCTTCCTCTCTGGGCTTTTAACACCACTCACCTGAGTGCTTTGCTAAGTGTGCTGAAGGTTAATCATTTAAAAGAATGATGTATTACTCCTACAGAGAAAGAGTTTTTATCCAAACCTAAGGATTTTGAAACTTCTAAATATATAATGAATAATCTGACCTGACACACAAAAATTCTTGCATTGCCCATAAATATTATTCTCTGTATAAACTTTAAAAGCCACTATAGTTTTCTTGCTAAGCACTTCTCTTTATTTCAGGTTTGCTTTCCTTGGCAAAAAAGGAATGTGAAGTTCACTTGGAGAAAAATATACGTCCTGGGGGCCCTCTATAATGAATGACTTGGCTTCTCTCTGCAAGTGCTTGTACTATTTTGAGAAATGGATATATAGTGGGGTGGTTACCAGCAGTTCCTTTTGTTGTAATTTCTGAAATGAAGCTTCTCATGTTTCAGAGAATAATTGATTTTTTTTAAATAGCTTTCCTGTAGCTATACAACTCATTTTATTCTGGCACTTTTTCCTTTTTGTTCCTTTTTTTCCCCTCCTTTCAGATGCTTAATTATCTTTTGCAATGGTACACAAAATCAAATTACACAGCAGCAAGGTAGGTAGTTTCCTGGTATTCATCAGCATTCAAAAAGAAAAGGATGTTTTTATAATTTTGTCACAGACACTCTAGTCATCTTTGTTTTTCTCTATTATCTTATTATTAAAATTCTGCTTTCAATTAGGATGCTAAAACAATGCAAACCCTTAGTTTTACATAACAGCAAAATATTCAGCTCAGGATTTAAACTGTGTCTGCATTACCAGCCCTTTGTGTTTAGGTACTTCACAGGCCTCAGTGCTGTAATATATATAATATGCCTCTGAAGCACAGGAGGCTTCAGAGTGAGAAGATAAAACCTCCAGAAATCAAACCCATAATTTTATGCCTTTCCTTCAAATCTTCACGCCGATGTTGGCGTTAAATTGTTGTCCACACCACTGCAGTGGGGCCACATCCTCAGGCTTTTACAGCTCTGATATACAACTGATATCAATGAAAATAACATTCACAGCATAGAACAGCTCCCAGAATTCTTCCCTTTAAAAGAGCAGACATAGAAACAGCTTTGAAGACACACAACCTGGTTTTTTAGGGTGCTTTGAGAAGGGTATGAAAGTGGTTCTACAAAGCTGCTCATACCTACCTCCTCTCTGCTCATTCTTCTCCCTCTCCATGGAGGTTTTTTTCACTTGCAGCTCCTGCTGGGAAGTTGTGAGAGTCTGGATTTGCTCTCACAGAAGTCACCACTGGTTTGTGGTGTCATGGCTGATCAAGCAGGGACCGTCCCAGTGAGTCAGGATGTGCTGCTGTGGCTCCCTGCACAACACAGAAACATGAGCGTGCAACCAAAAAAACCATTCCGAAGGAAACTCAGGATTTATACAATATTTACAGAGTCAGAGAGTCTGGTTGGAAAGGAGCTCTAAGATCATTGAGCTTAACCCAGCACTGCCAAGGCCACCACTGACCCACGTCCCAAAGTATCTCATCCAGACAGCTTTTAAATCCCTCCAGGAACAGTGACCCCACCACTGCCCTGAGCACTCTGTTCCAATGCTTGACATCTGGTTCCATGAAGAAATTCTTCCTAATATCCAATCTAAAACCTCCCCTGGCACAACTTGACTAATATACAGATATTTACTCTCAGTAGTCAACACATCTTAATAAACACACAGGAAAGTCTCTCCTCCAGTGGTTGGCCTTTAAAACAAACCACCAAGGCAGAACTGTTCCTTGGGAGCCAAATCTCAAACATGAGGATGCAAATTTACATCCAGCCATGCCACAAACCTTTCAGAGGGAGACCAAGTTGATGACTTAAATCCCCCCAGACTACTAGAGGCAGATTTTTGGTAATATTTCTGACATCAGTTCTATTGTTTCCCCCTATAATGCACTGACCCAGATCTGTTGGTGTAATTTTTCAGCTTCTAATACTGATAATATTGCTTTTAGACAGTGGTTTCAGGGCCCTTTTGAGATGAGTTCTTCAAAGCTGCAGCTTAATCCATTCTTTATTAGCTGCTGTAAAGTGATTACTTCTTCAGGGCTGGATGGAAGTACTTAAAGGAAATGAGCATTCCTTTACCAACCATCCCTGCTCCGCTTCCAGAGCTTTTGCTGGAATTTTAACGCTTTAGGGTTGAGTGATGGGGGCATAAAACAAGAGGAGATGCTGAGAGAAAAGTTTCAGATGGTAAATGTGTTGCCACTGTGACATTTTTTTAACAAAATCCCAAACTGTGACAGGTGCTCAGGGACTGATGGCCCGTGACGGGCGATCTGGAGGTCGCTGGAGCCGCTGCTGCTGCTGCTGAGATGTCATTTTATTGTTTAGTTCCAAATGAAAAATCGCTCTCTGAATGCAGTTTATTAGAATCCTGTTGCAAGCAGGGGCCGGGGGAAGTCACATCACAGTTGCACACTGCCTTCCATTGCTCCTTCCGCAGGAGGAGAAAAAAGGGATTAAAAAAACCCCCCGAATCTACTGCATCTGTCAGGCTGTAATTAGGTGGAGACACTTTCTTCTGCCCGTGTGAACTCCTCCTGCTAATTCCATGATGACTGTGCTGATTAACACAAGGCTAAGATGGTTTCAATGAATACATGTTCATCTAATAACTGCAGGAAACAAGTGCCACCTGTTGTCATGGAGAAGGACCTGATTCAAGGGCAAAGCAACTTGACCACAGCTCTGTGATTCCAGAGAGCAAATCCACAATAATAAAGCAAATAAAGAAAAAAAAAAGAGAAAAGACTAATTAATTTCAGAGCTGTTGAAAACCTGCAATGTTAATAAAAAACCCAAACAACTCCTGGATGTTATTTTTATCAGTGTCTGTATATCAGTCCAGCCAATTGCTGCTGTATGTATTCCATGATAAATAAAGTCTTGGAAAGAAAAATAAACATTGTGATGTTTCTTTAGGAGCAGAAATAGTTTCCCTCAGACAAAAGGGTGAAGGAAAACATGTATTAATGTACAGGGCACATGGTACTGATGTAAGAACGTTGAGACCTGATCTATCACAACTTTAAGAGAATGACTTTGTTCTGATCACAGAATCACGGAATGGTTTGGGTTGGAAGGCACCTTAAAGATCATCCAGTCCCACCCCTGCCATGGGCAGTGACACCTTTCACTAGCCCAGGTTGCTCCACCCTGTCCTTGGACACTTCCAGGGATCCAGGGGCAGCCACAGCTTCTCTGGGCAACCTGTGACAGGGCCTCAAAACACCAAACCCCAGAGACTTCCAAAAGCAGTTTTTAAGCTGCACAAACTTCTGAACCCATTTATAATGTAGTTCCCCTCTCAAGGTGAAACAATAATAAAAAATTAATTGTGTTCCCAAGCCTTCTTAAGAAAAAAACCCCAGAATTATATTGAATTTTTTAAGGAAAAGTCAGCGCAGGGCAATCGCTGTTG